ATAATCTTTGAGAGAAAAAAATGTAAATGGGTGGGGGTATGAGAATTGTTTGGGGGAAGGGATGTTATATGGGTTTGGGGGAAGAGAAATGCCCCTGGAGTTGGAGATAATTACGAGATTGTGGGTGTTTAAGTTGTTGTCAAGGCCATGTGACGGGGTGGACGGAAAAGTTGAGATGATAACATGGGATTTAGTTTTGCTAATCTTTAGTTTCTTGATAGATGTGCCCCTCATTTATTTGGAGATAGATAATTGCTTTATTGGCTCCTCTCCTCACCAAATAAATAAATATTTTGCTTGATTGGCGGCGTAAAGGAAAAATTAATTTAAGAAAACAAAAAAGTACTAGTAATGCACAATGTGCAATAAGAAAGGAAAATATAACCACAGGTGCGGTGCAGTTGGTAAACTGCCACATTCAGTTGACGAGCTAGCTAGTGTCTTAATGGCAGGGTTTCGAAATTCTTTGGAAGCACTTTGTGGCCAAGGCAAGCCAAACCTTGAGCAGGGATTAATCTCACCCTTATAAAAATCCTTATAAAACCTATTTGAAGTGAAAAAATCAAAACTAGCCACTCGTCATCTTAAAAGATTTGAACATACTAAAAACCAATTAGAAAGTGACAAGTAGTTAATTTTGAGTTTTTCCTTCAATAAAGATTTTATTTATTTATTATGTCATGTTAGATGGGCTCATATATGAAAAGCCCATGAAAACAAATAATATGAAATAAAACTACTTTTGGAAGCTTTGAAGCATGACATGGGTTGTTCTGTGACCAACAAACAGGTATATTCAATTGGATTCTCTCAGGTAATGCACCAAAAAGAGAAAAGAGCATTTTGTGTTTCTGTCCCTAAAAAACATTTTAGGTTTGGGAATAATGTCTTCCAACCAACAGATGCAATGTGTTTAGTAATGTTACAAAACAGATGTGTTTTTAGGTACGGTCAATCAAGGAACATGGAGAGGGGTCTGTGAGTCAAGGAACATGGAGAGGGGTTTATCTCAAATAGCTTTATGATGGGACCAAGGACTAGAAACTAGGTTTTCAAGTCTGATTGGAAGGAAAATAAAGTAATTTTTCCATTGATGAAGTGGAATGAAAGGAAAAATCTACCCCAAGGAGATCATAATCATCAGAGTCAAATTCAATTACAATGGAAGGGAAACGATATAATTAAATTGTTCCTTTTTCTTTTATCAACAAGAGAGGGACACTCCAAATTGGGACCTCTTCAACATTAAAACTAACGACCAAGAGGGGCATGAGGATGATGAGAGAGTGACAAAGTGAGAGAAGACGAGAGAGGGATGACAATGAGGGCAGCTCTGTAACTTTCTATGAGGACAACGTAGCTTTCTATGTGAGCACACGGAAAAAAGAAACAACTACTTTAGTATGGTTTTAGGTTTTAGCCAAAAAAAAAAATTCACTTTTGGAAAAAGCCAAAGTTTTTTCAAAAAAGACAGAAAAACCTCTCAACTTTCAAATCAAAGACATGCAAATGTAAAGGATTCCTTAGGAAATCCAAAAATAAATAAGGGCAATTTTGTCCATTTTGGCTTTTTTTATAAAATTTCTCTCTCCTTTGTGTTTTTCCAAACCTACCGGTCTGGTTTTATTCGGTTCAAACCTACCGGTTTTTATGCCCAACCCGAAAACTAGTAAAGATAGACTATGCTATATTAGTCATCTAAGCAATAGCAACTGTGAGTAGCATTGCTCATGTTTGTTTTGTATATATTGTTGCCCCATATTTATATAACAATACTGATATGATTCAATTATATTCTATTTGTCTGTGCAATGCAATAGAACAAGTTGAAGATCAATGAAGTGCATGCTAATCAAATTTAATCAATTCAAATGCTCTTCTTAATCTTGATAAAATGTGCATAGGATTTTATGCTGGGAAGATACATGTGCATCAAATAAGCCTTCAGAAATGCACCCAAAACAGTATAATAAGGCATCAATGAATAATTTATTGGACTTGGTTTTGGCAACTTAGGAGCATGACATTGGTCTGAACTTGTAGTGTTCTCTGATCAACAAACAGGCTCTGCTCAGACAAGATTTTCTTCCCAAACACGAAATCAGCAAACCAGACTTCGGACCACAGCATCAATAATATATATTTTTAATGCAGAAACACCTGCTATGGAACCCTTTGAGTTTTTTCTCAATCTGAATTTGTTGTCAGATTATAAAAAGAAACACTTAATTAAACATCCCTCCCCATTTCTTAGCCATCCTTTTTGGCATTATATTTGGTACGATTCGATCAGAAAGCTAACTGTTTTTGTGTTTGCGGTTGAATGGACCACATGGTATCACAATTTTAAATACACTTAAGCTACAGTTATAGTTAATAATCATTTGACCCCACATTCGATTTTTTTTTATGTTGCTAAAGTTATGGAATTCGAACCCGAGGCAACAAGTTTGCAAGTCAAGATAATTTTTCAATGAGGTAGCCCTGATGACGTTTAGATTTCATTGAAAAATAGTATAGGAAAACTCTTGTATACCTAATGTGTAATTGTTTAATGGAAAGATTTGATTTAGCGACTCATTCTCGTAAATCTAGTAGCATTTAGTTTTCACTTTATTAGAGAAAGTCTTGGGCTTAAATCCTTCAAAAAGGCAGTTGGTTTTGTGGTTGAAAATGATGTTCTCAAACTGGTGATATACAGCTTGATGATTATGTCCTTGGACAGTAAACTTATTATTTAAAGGGTCAGCCAGCAAAATTATTGGCTCTCATTGAGTGCTTGGCCTTTAATCAAGAGCAGCAACTTTGGAAATGCACAATCAATTTACTGGTACTCACTGCTTAAGTCCACAAAATTATATTAATTAAGCTCGAAATGGACAGATATAATTTTTCTTCTAGTGCTTTTTGTTTTTTTTCCCTAACCCCATGATCTCTTGTCGACCAGTATCTTTTTATCACAGTAATACTTGATTAAAATAGAACATAATCAAGATTTGGAGAATATTTGATGGGACCATTTTGTGGGGTGATTTGATTAGGAGCCACGGATATTTTTAAAACTTCCAAATATGAAAATAAAATAGAAAATGGAAAATGTGGCTGTTCAAACTTCAATGTGTTCATCTCAGCCCAAAGAGGAAAAAAATGGAAGAGTTCAAACTGTTTTCTGACCAAAATAAAACATGAAAGTTTATTATGCTGTGGTTCTTGCGCGTTTGTTAGCCGAGTCTTTTTATTGTGAGGGTCTTATCTATGGTCCTTAGGTGAGATTCTATTTCTTAACCGTTGAATCAGGTTAACCAATTTAATTCAACGACAAACCGATTTAATCCAACGGTTAAAAGATATGACCTCATCTAAGGCATTGCAAAATAGCTGACTGGGCCCTATACATTGGATTTGGCCTGTAACTTAGAAAACTTGGACCAAGAAAATTGTTTGGGTCTTCAGACCACAAATGAAAATATAATGGCGCAAGCAAACCCACACAACAGTAGTACCCACCCAACAATATGCAATACCATCACTCAGCCCACCTACCTTCAACTTCCCACTACTTTATATAGGCGCTCAGATGCTTTACTGGCCATACAAAAAATGCAAATGGAACTGCACAGAGAACAAAAACCACATGCAGAGGTGGGTGGTCCATACATGAAACTATAAATGGTGGATTAAATTTTTTTATAGGTGTACTAAAGCTCCTATTTAGGGTTGTGGGAAATTATGAAGAGTGATGAAAAGAGTAAGGATAGTATGTTAAAAAAATGATTAAAAAAATGTGGAAAATTATGTAGAAATGAGGTTGGTATTTACCAAAAAATTTAGGAATTTATAGAAAAAATTTAGGATTTTTTATGAATATATATATATATATATATATATATACCTTCCATTGAGGGATTCCTCAAATAAGCTTATTTGAGGGACACCCCTTGTAGGCCCCACTCCGGATTGTATTTCACTAATCCAAACCGTCTATTTTGTATATACTCATTCAAAGATCATCTCTACAAAAAAATCACTTGAATCCGATATCATTTAACCACTCAATTGAGTTATTGAAATTTTAATACTTCCTTGAAGCACCATGTTCATTGATTTTGTAAGACACAATTGGATGTCGAAACGGTTTCAGATTTGTCTAATTTTTTGTAAGGATGATCTATGAATGAAGACCTAAAAAATAGATGGTTTAGATCATTGAGAAAAAAATTGTAGGGTACCCTAAAGGGCGTCCCTCAAATAAAATTATTTGAGGGATCCCTCAATAGAAGGGGACTGTATATATATATATATAACGGTTAGCTAATGTCAATAGCTAGAGAGAGGCTGGACTTTGCAGGTTTTGTCCAATGAACAAAAGCAGCAATTGCTTGCTTTTGAAAAGAAAAAATTTATAGAAAAAGATATAGCCCAACCAAGAATCAGGCCACATTTGGCCCTTTAATTGGGTTTGGCTCAGTAACATGGCACATTTAGCTCACTTAATAGAGATCGATTCAGTGTGAGATTTAGCCCACCGTTGGAAATGGCCTAAGATTTTCGCAAAAGCTTTCAACTTTACCACTTCCATTTTATTTAATTTAAGAAGAAATATAGAAAAATGATCTAAACTTTTTATTTAAAAAAAGAAGAAGAAGATAACAAATTATCTTGATGAACCTCAGCCTCGTCTCTTGCTCTACCTTTCGGGATTGTAATTGGTCATGGGTCCCTAGGACCGTAAACTTGGCAGCAAGTCACTTAGCCAAGTTAGCTTTGTCAAGGATGAGCCTTTCTATTTGGGTC